CGCCCTCTCTCCCCTCTCTCCACCCACCCACTCTCGTGCTCTATCTGTCTGTCTTGCGCACCCATCCTTCTCGTTCTTCCCCCACCCCCCCACCAACCTTTACTCCCCCCGCCCTCCCACCTGCAGGTATATCTTGTACAGGTTCCCGGTGACGTCGGCCATTATCGGGGTGGCGACGAACTTCACGTTCCTGTGTGTCATTGTGCTGATCAGCTACCTGCAGTGGGTGTGGGGGGGCTTCTGGCCCCCGGACCACGCAGCGAGTCAACGACAAACAGAGCAGCCCAGGGAGGCAACCCCTGTGAGTCCCCTTGTGTCCCTGAGAGGCGGGGGTGGGGGGCCGTCGCGAGGGTGAGGGGGTCTCGGCCTGATGGGGTAACCGGTGAGGGGGGGGTGGTCACAGGTCTCCCTGCCACACTCTCGCGCGTGCGCACAATGGACACAACAACTGTCCCCACGCTCCAAACGAGCTCAGTATCCCACCCCCGAGCACCGGCTCTTCGACTCGGTAGGGAATCGTGCTTCGATTGTGAGAGTTGGCGGGCGGGGGTGGGGGGTCAGAAGCTGGGGCCTCGTGACTCGGAACCTGCCCTCCGCCGTTCTCCTACGCCTCTCCACACCCACTGTACTCCCCCACCCCTCCCTCCTTCCGTCTGTCCCACCCCCATCCTCCATTGCAAATGGCCACCTCAACCTGAGGCTAGGCGGTGAGTACAGCAGGGACAGGGAACGTAGCGTGAGCACGGAGAGCGGGGAGGCTGTTTGACCGAACTACGGGGCTGAACAACACGCGCCCCCCCACCCCCAGGCTCTTTCTCCTATCCTTCCCGGAAGAGTCGTGTACCCACACCCCCAGCACTGGTCCGCCCCGCTCGCCCTCAGGGATAGCACCGTGAGCCTGATGAAATCACTTCACAGCCCCGCAGTCGGCACATGGTGTTATCTCAGGGATTCTCCTCCTCTGGAGTGATGCCTAACACTTGACCTCAGGATCACTGGTCACGTGGGAGGAGGGTCTGGGAGCTGGGAATCTCATGCTGATTAAAGGCAGGTTGTTGCTGCAACTGTCGATGGTTTTATTTTCTTAAACGTGCGCGTTTGTTACAGTCTAATTAACTGTTTTTTCATTCTCCATCTCTGACATCGCTCATTCCC